TGTAAAGAATACATAAATAAAATTATTAACATATGCGATTAAGAATTAAGTTTTTGTATCCTAATTATAAATTCAATCAAATTAAAATGTTGTCTTTAGTAAATTAAACTTTTGTTCTTTTTCATTTAACCACACCCTCCTCGTTCGTCACCCCCTCACACCTTCCCTCTCAAATTGCGCACAAAGGTTCCGCCCCGGGTAATAGGGATTCAATTCCTTGACCCAAAAAGGGAACCACGAGCGGTTGACTTGTTGACGGAGTAAAAACGACTCTTCCAGTCGCTGACCCGTCGCAAGTCCTAAACGTGCCGCTCGGCTCGTGCGGTCAGGTCCGTTTACGTCGATCGCCGAGCCCAACGAAAAAAATTCTACATCTATCAGGACGTAACAGTTAAAAAGGTACAAATGTAGCTAAAGGTACAAATATATTGCGACATTTGCATATATTTGAAATACATACTATGATTCCTTTATATGTGTTAGATTGTTTTAAATCACGCAGGCATTATGACGCGTTTATGTCCTACAGATTTGTTGATTTCCTAATCTAGGAGAGATAAATATTAGAAGCGTGGGGTCTGAGTAGTTTAGTGGTCAGAACATTCGCCCGGCAAGCGGAAGACCCGGGTTCAATTCCCGGTTTAGCCACTCGCGCCCTGATATTTTTTCTCTCTTCCTTTCTTTCTAATAATTCCTATCAGTACATACTGATTCTCCATATGTGAAAACAATGTACTAAAATTTTCGTACACTTTAAGTATCTCAAACCAAAGATCGGTGTACAAAGTTAACTGTCTCACGTAGACTAATAAATTAATTTCTTTAAGAAAAATTAAAATTTTGCACTAACATCCCGCGACGGCTCTCAATGCCTTTCTATTATATTATGTGATACATACTATGATATTGCGTTACGTGATTTTAGATAAAAAGGAGTTAACGGAATTCCCACAATATCTTACAGGTAAATTGAATATGTTGCTGAGTCGAGTATCGATGCTGTGACCTTTCTTGCTTCGTATAAGGATGTAAATTTTGTCGATTTCCGAGCAACAGTACAGCAGCTTTTCCAAGAGGACCTTACCCATAAAGCCGGAAGCGCCGGTGACAAAAATGGTCTTGTCTTTGTAATAGGATTGAATTTCGCTCCTCTTTTTGTCCATTATCGCTGAAACACAAAAATTTAAACATTATAACATAACATACAACATAAGGTACAATATATAAACATATATAAAAAATACATGAATTTTTGTGATACATTATCTTTGTGATACGTTTATTCTGTAAAAATTCAAGTATTTTTTATATATGTTTGTATGTTATATGTTGTTGTTGGAACTAAAGTTTTAATTGTATCGACATATATACATATTATTATAAACGTAAAAGGAATAATAAAAACACAATTAACAAGCAAATTGTTTTATTATTGAAAATAAAAGATCTTGTAATTATTTGAATTGTCTGTGTCAATAATATAAAAAATAGATTGCATTTAAAATTTCAAGATTTTCATTTATTTGTTTGTCTTTTAATTTATCTTTCTTTTTAATCATTTAATTTTTTCGTGTTTGTTATTGGTTACAACATACTCGTATATACGTGTATATGTTGTGGCGCGTTGTGGCAATTATTTATAAGGATGTAAAGTGAAGGGGATATCTTCGCAATAACTTTAGTAATAACTTTGTTATTTGATTAGAACTTTGCTTTTTAAATACTTGACGACAATGACGTGACCTTTTTATTTTTACTTTTTTACGACGATTGCGGAACGCAAGCGCGGCATCAACGATGCATCATGCAGCGCGGAGCATATAGTGCGATATTCACGGATTATTTCTGAAAAATGCAATTTCGAAACATAAAATTATATATAGTTGAATTTAGTGTAAAAAATATATTAACTTTTGTTATTACAAAAATCTTGAAATTCGTAAACATAATTATAAGAAGGCGAATTAAAAAATATAAAATTTTTTTTTTAATTTAGCTGCGCGGTTATAAAGCCCGTAAAATATCATAAAATTTTTATTTGAAACATTTTTTTATATTTTTTACAGTTTTAACGATATTCTGTCAAAAATAGAGAAGACCGCTTCAGCTTGTAGGATCTGTTTTAACCCCTAAACGTGCGAGAACGCAAAAAATATACTTATCTCTTATTTTGAGTTACTCTATAACATATTCAAAACTCATCAAAATCGAAGGAGGACAACTCTGTCACTTTCTCGTTAGCAAAAGGTTACGCAAATATCGGCAATAATTCTGATGCACAATAATGATATAATACAAAAATATACTGGATATTTGTTGGTGTTACACACGTTCGATTGAATCTTATGGTTTAATCCTGTTATCACTTGCAATTAATGTAATGTTTTGTTTCACTTTTGCTATTTTGTGAGAATAGATCCTGTGTACTCCGCGCTCATGAACTTAATGAGCTTCGTTGTAATCCGTGATGAAATATGTATTGTTATAGAATGACTTGCCGATCTTTTTTCTTCTTCCACTGTTAGTCTCTGTTTCTCTTCCCACATGTTCGCAATAATAGTTGCAATTATAACTGTTAGAAAAAGTCTTGTGCGTTTTGTTCCTGCCAGAGGCAAGAAGCTTGTTTCTAATCGCAAAACAAATTGTTTTCTTCTCATTTTCACGTTCCTATAAACAATTTATGAACAGTTCATGAACGTCATCGTTCTTAGATGCGCGTGAAATTGTCGAAGGACGCTGTATGTCATTACATCTCGACTGTTGATGAATCCGAAACATGCAAATTCTGGTTACATTTTACTTACTTGTCGATTTTGCAGAATACTTAGAAATAGTATCAAAATACTAAACTTTCTAAAATTTTGTATTTTTTGTAGAAGTTTGGTGGATTGTATTTGTATAAAACTGGTTTTTTACGCAAAAAGTAACTAAAAAATAGATACAATAAAAATGTTAGTGTTTACTTTGTCTTGAACAAATAAATGAGAGGAAAGAAATAGATGAAAGAAATATTACGTTGTTCTAATTCTTTTATTATTATTATTATACATGCAAAATAATATAAAATTTATTTATTTATTTTCACTTATTTTATTTTCTCATATATTCTTTTAGATATATATAAAAATAATATTATTTTAAAGAAAAACGTTTGAGGTAGTGAATATTAAATAATAAAATAGAGTAGCCATGTATAAAGTATTGATGATAATCTGTCGCTTATGTCGTCATTTCCTTCGAAAATATGTGGAGTCAGTAATAAATGCAATCATTATATCTTCACACAATATAAAAAAGAAAAAGAGTATTGAAACTTATGCACTTATGCAAACACTCATTAATATTATTTAACCTTTGATTCTTACGACAGTCTCCTTATTAATAAAGTGGAGTATACTCCACATTTACTAGAGTAAATAATATTTAATATCAAATCGACATTTTAATGACGTTTCTTTCTTCTTTATATCATCAAGATTGTGCGCATCTACAATGTATAAATTTGTTTTGCAACAAATAGATGAATGCTGAAATGTAAAAACTTTTAAAGAATTAAGTTTTATGTCAAAATAAAACATTATCTTGTTTGCTCTAGTTCAAGGATTTATATCTATGTTCAGTAAGCAGATTGCAGTTATTGTTTTAAAATTATTATTATATATTTGTGTTATTTTGTGTGTAAACTTAACTTTTTTCTGATATTTTCAATAAATAGTTTGACATAAAAATCTGAAATGTAAATCTACTTATTTTTTTATTAATCTTAATAATTTATTTTTAATTTATAAATAGAGTTCTCTATTAAGATACATATCAAATATCTCCTTCTTTATAATTAAAAAATCATTTTTTTTATTTATGTAATAATTCTTTTATATAAAACATATTTTTAACAATATAAAGAAAAATCCTTTACTAGCGTTTTGTGTCGCACTGTTGCATTTATCATGGTATTTGTCACAGCTACATTTATTTCTGTCCGTGATAATGTGATAATGTGAAAATTATTTTAGCAATAGTTCATAATATACTCGATGAACAAGTGTATATAAAAGTTAGTTTTATTGATAAGTCATCGTGCTGCGTTATTCTCACTATCGTAGTTTGTAATTAATCACCAAAGGTGATCTAATGTGAGTTGACAGTTTTTAATGCGTCTTTTTTTTTGTTAATAATTTACTACACGTGTGGCCTGAGTATGTTTTATCGCATGGTTTGCATTTTTTTCTCAAACAAAATTCTATTCTACGTCTATGACCCAAGACGAAACAGGCATACACGAGATGTTTAATACAGATGTAGATGTATAAGATGTAGATTGTATAAGATAAATATGAGCCAAATATAAGCTAAAATATTTAATTTAAAAATACGCACGTACGTGCATCGAAGTACACAATATACAGAATTCTGGCTCGAATCATCCCAGACAGCACATATGTCCAAAATACATCCAACGGATATCCAGAAGACGTCTTGTAGTCCCAAAAACATTCTCTGGACGTCTTTTGGATATGTTGTACTGTCTGGGATATAGATCGTTTAAAGTAAATTTTTTTATGTATGTTTTACAAAATAATAAATTTTACTGACAATCTCAAGAATACCAAGAAAAAATTGTGAGACATGTTTTTATTGATTTTACAAAAAAATTGAAATATTTATAAAATATACATATATTTTTATTTGTATATTTGACGAATTAATATAATATATACTTACATAATAAATATCATATAATAGATTTAGAATATAATAAATTTTTCATTCCCAAACAACACACATTTTTATGTATATCATGACTGCAGTGAATATATTCATAAATATATTATTATATTTATTATATGAAATGTATTATATAAGCGTATTATATGAAACACAGTAATACATTTTTATCGAATTACAAATAAACTTGTACACATATGTTTCGCTAATTAATGTCATTAATCTTCTTAAAAAAGCATATCTTCACTTTTGGGTTGAACTAATGTAGATCATCCAATTTTATAAGTTTCACAACTTAGTCTTTGTCTTGTGACGTGACGCTTTTCGAGCGCCGTCACAAGGGTGATAGCCCGGCCGAAGGAGCAACGAATCCTGGAGTTGCTCCTCGCGTTGAGAGAGCAACCCGCGAGACTCCACCATCTTTACGCGTTATTTTGTATTTCGTTCCCGTTTTTTTATGTCTATTATCGTTTAAGTTATAAGGCGAGACCCTGTGCGGGCGGCATTGCGTATTTTGTGCCTCAGGGCGAAGATTCAGCATCGCCAGTGTCACGTGTTAGTGACCCCGCAGCAGACAAGGTCAGGTACCGCGATCCCGTCGCCTCCGCCATCCAGGCCCTATCGACTAACTCCGCTTTGGTTTTAGCCACACACTCGCAAAGAAGCGCAGCAGCGGACCTCGCCCGGCTGCAGACGGCACCGAGGACTCCGAAGATAATGCACCTGGAAGGACCGGAGTATGGTTCGGCCAGCCTAACCAGTCTCTTCCGGGAACATCGAATTGCGCGATCCGAACCGGATGATTTGAGGAAGCCACAGAAAGCGGAGGGGGGGCGCCCTGGATGAACTGTGGGCGGTTCTCAGGGGCCCCCCTTTTTGGAAAATCGGCAGGATGCGCGGAAAGGCGACGCGGAATTAGAAGGACCAACTTGCAGAGCCGAGAAGAAGCACTGTTCAGTGTGCCGCAAGAGTGCAAGGACTAACGCCAGGACTCAGCCCAACGACACCGAAGACGCCGACTTGATGTAAGCCGCCTCTCGGGTAGCCGTAGAGTTCCGTCCGGTTATGGCTGGTAGCGTGAGTCTAAAGTTCTGTATTTAGTGTCTCTCACACGACTAACCACGATTTTGATACCGTGAGCGCGTTTTGGCGCTCAGTTACCGCATGTCCAGCCGGCTCCGGATATCGCGTAAAAGTCTCTTTGTCTTGCGTGAATCAAGCACCGACAGTCTCTTTCTCGTTGCCGTTTCGATTGCCGTTCGTTACCGTACCGTCTTTCCGTTATCGTCTTTCTTACGATACCGTTTTTGTTACCGTTTTTCGCGTTATCATAGTACCGGAAGTACCGTGATTGAATGTCCGCGGACGGATTTTGCTCGGGAACGTTCTCCGCAAGACCGCTGTTACCGCCAAGTTAGCGTCTCGAGAAACGTGAAAACCCGCGAAAATAGCCGCTCCGCGACATATCATTTCTGGCCGTTAGGCCATCGTCGTTCGAATCATATTTGTTTGGCCTTCATCGGTCGCATTGTATTGTCGTGTTACGTGCTATCCGTTTTGCTGCACGGAAAAAAAAATTTAACTGTCACAGCTAAAAACTAGGTCCTGTAATTAAACTTTGCTTGTATTATAGGGACACCTAAAGTTGTTGTTGCGAGATCTATTTTTATTAGCTGAAAGGCTTGTAACTGTGGCAGCTAAAGATTTAGCTGCAGTACACACTGCAGAAAATAGCTATGGCAGTATGCATAACAACAATTAGTTGTGACGCGCACATTGTTTAGCTGTTAGAGCTGTAAGTTTTGGTATCATTGCTAATATTTTAGCTATGTCAGCAAATCTACCCAAAATGACGTTTATATTCGAGGTTTGTCCCACAGCTAAAATAATATCAATGGCAGTGAAAATGGTATAAACGGTAGCTATAATTGATAGTTAAATAATTTTATTGACTTATGGAGGCTAAAAATATAAGGAAAAGTAAAATCACACATGCAAAATTATATTTTTATATTTACCTTCCTTATACATATATGAGTACTAATTCTTATTATACATAACTAATACACTAAAATACAAAATTACGCCGATATACATTGCAAAAACAATTTTGTTGAAAAAAGTATTATAAGTGTATTGTAAAAGAGATTACTTAGTATTACGAAATTATATTTAATATTATAAGTACTTAACAATAACGCATATAACGTGTGTGCTCTTTTCATATAAAATTAATAAATAAAAAAATTTACTCATTTTAACATAAAATATCTTCATATAAAATATATGGTATTGTATTACACACACAAACATGTAAACAGACTCAGGAAAGTATGACATTAGGTGAAAAGTAATATCACACAGGATGATGTAAAATAATATATCGCTCACCAGTTGCCATAGTATAAATGAACAAAGGAAAAGGATCC